TGCGCACCCTCTCTAAATGCACACTTAAATTCAGGTCCAATATATACATGACCTTCATAAATGCTCTTTTTCTTATTGTTCTCCAAGTGCACGTCGTTAAAGTTCGGTCCCAAGAGTGTGCACTTATGGAGGTTTTACTGCAATTATTTGTCAATTGGAGTATTTGAAACACTCTAATTGATTCTTATTTTATAGCAGCACACTGCCTGCTATATCTAATTATTAACAGAACTGAGTAGCAAAAATGCTCTTTATTTTGCGTGAGCGTTATTTCGAAACCATGTGTGCTATTTCAAGGATATAGCTTTCTAAATGACGCCCACGGGTGTTATTACGCGAAAATACGGTATGCATGGTGGACAAGCTTTATATCGGTATTAAAGGGTTATTGAATTTGAAAATATCTATGTTTTTGTATCTTACAAAATCAGTTTTGGGATGTTCAACAGTAAACTATTAGATTTATATAGCAGAAACGCATTTGGTAGACTAGTTTTTTTTATTGAATTTAACAGGTTATTGGGTTTAGCAAGATCAGTGTTGAAAGGTTCAATAGTAACACAATTAAACATTAAAATCTTATTTCAAATAAGAGCCAAAAAAGCATACCGTATTTGCGTGTTATTTCGAGTCATGGCCCGAATTAAGCTTAATTTAAGCCGAAATTCGAAATTACACTCCTGTGTGTTGAGATAAATTATATTTTATTTTCTTAAATTATTTTAATAATATTATGTTTGTAATATAATATTCGGTTCTTTATTTTGTTTTTATTTTGTTTAAAAACTTATACAACAATCGAAAATATCATAAAATTACTAGGTAAGAAGCCCGCAGCATAGCAATTAATTCACCAACATACAAGGACAATATTAAGGATTGGAACCGTCATTGATTTAACCGTCTATAATCATTTATTTATATCGTATAGTTAAACGGATAAAAAAATCAAATTATTCACTTAACCGTTTTTTAAATTTTATACGATTACTCGTTTAATGAACGTTCAATTCCTCATGTGGAGGCAAACAAATAGTGTATTGGACATATCTATATAATAAAGATTATTAGTCGGATTTTATTCACAGGACTAATGTGTATCACTAGTATAAGTTTATTAAAAAAAACAGGTCGTATGATCCGATAACTTGTGTTGGCTCAAAGTTCATTAGGAACAAAGTTGGTTTAAAACGCTGAGTAATTAATATGATACGACATATACAGTCAGACTTGATATAATCACCAGATTATAAGGTTATAAGTGTGACTATATCAATAGTAACTATAACGAGGTCTTAATAAACGTTTAAATGGTTAATAAGGGTTAAGAGATCATCAAACAATTATTGCGGTTTGCAAAATTTGCAAGTCATCAAACAAAAAAAAAACCCCCCGATTATGATTAGTGATTTTTGATTTCTTTACATCAATTATATTTTTAAGGCAGCGCCTATTTCCACCATTTGACATAATTTATAATGACGATATGTTCGTCATGTTTATGTAGCTGATGTGTGAAAAGCATGATGGAAATAGGCATTCTTTAAACACAAAAACTACTTGTAACCACTGGTTGTTGTAACTTGTAACCAGCATCATATAATTATATGGATTAATCTTTTTTATACAAATTTAATGCAGTACGTATTATACAAATAGACTACATAAATTTGTAAAAAAAGAATATATAATTATATGATACTGGTTACAACAACTAGTGGTTACAAGTAGTTTACTCCTTTTCAAAAATCTAGCAAATATACATTATATATATAATATTTTAATGGATCAAAATTATTATTCCAGAATATGTCTTAATGAAAGAGTAATATTAGTATGAAAATTTATTAGAAATATTGCTATTCAATTTTATTCCAATTAACAAATGTAAACTTTATTAAAATAATTTACAAAATATGATATTACTAATAGGTGTTTAACATCACAGTTGTTATATCTTAAAAACTGTAATTAACCAAGACCAGGTGTATTAAGTAAAAATGGTTAGAACCCCAAAACCTTATGTTAACTAAAATTGGTGTGTAATTGGATATAACCCCTGCCAAATACGTAACATAGCTTTCATGTACTTATTTTAGAATTTATGATTGTTTATGACATTTAATATTAAATAGAATATACTCAATCACCTAAATTAAATAGATACGTATATGTCTAGCAGAAATAAGTATATGAAAAAGTTATATAGCTAGGGTTGGCCAAGGGATAAGCTGTTTTAATAATTCGAGTTTATTTGATAAATTTTAGAATATCTCAAAATTGATGTGATAAACTTGAATTATTACAACCCTTAATAAGGATCTTTAACCTCCGTCTTGTCTGTAACTGCACTCTAACCTTAAATTTTAGTAAAACCGAAAATATATAGCTATTTTGATATAAAATTAAAAATTTTAGTGTTTTTTTCATTTTTTTTAGGGGTTGGTTATGATTTTGACAAGAATTGATGATTTAAAGTGTATGTAAATGAGAAAGTTTGTCGACAAATTAAAAAAAAATATTTTCTATCTTAAAATGTCGCCTATGAAACTGCTTTTCATGCTCTGACAAAAAAAATCCACCCATAATTTTGGCGTACGCTTTTGACTCTAAATCCTCTTTTAGCCTAATTTAATCCTAACTTTAAAATTAGCTTAATGCGGGCCGATGTCGATCATTCTAGATAGATGATCGACAAAACTTGGCACAGATGTCTTTGCAAAGTGTATATCAATATGTGGATTTTAGCAGAGCTTATATTTTCAAATCGAGACCTCAAATTTTCAGCATCATCCGTGGCAAATATTAACATCATAAACATTATAGGAGTACTTTATATTTCTGACCAAAATATTATCCCTTAAACTGTAAATTTAACTACATATCTATTACGATTTAGACTACAATTCATTGATAGCTTAATCATAGATTAAACATTAAATTTCCAGGCAAATTCAGTTTAAGGGATTTTTATAACAACAAAAATTGCACCATGTATTAATTAAATTTAAAGCAAAAATTTCTGTAATAATTTTATCAAATATATCGTATTGATACGATCAGTTAGAGATCAATAACAAAAGTTCGAACTTATTATTTAACAAAGATTAAAAAAGAATTGGAACTAAGATCCTGATACCGACGGATCTTTTACCTTATTCGAATCAAGAATATCCACTATCGAAAATTATTCATCGAAAGTTGTTGAGCAGACTGATAATATTCTCACATTTTTAGAGATTACTGACTTTATTAATCATTTGAAACTGACGGTTAATAAGTTGATACATAATTTTAATAATATAAAGAATTCAAATTTGCTTAAAAATATAAAAGTGAATTGGATTTAGGGAATTGATATTTCCACACACATTTTTGATATTTCAACACTCTGCTAACGCCAAACCCTAACCAAAACTCTAATAATATATCGCTATATTGATTTTTATTAACAGGGTATAGTAATATCAGAACAAGGGTAATTTCCTAAATTTATAATTAGATTAGTAAAAAAATTTTACAATTCGATATATAGATTAAAAATTCTAATGCAGTATATAAAGAATTTATAGAGCTAATAATGTTAATTTTAGTTTTTTATTTTAAAATGTTGCTAAAAATATTTATTATATTTTATAATAAGTTTGATTTTTGCAATGATTTTATAATTTATTAATATATATGTTAAAAGATTTAATTAAGTCAAATCGCTAGTCTTAATATAACAGTTATTTGACTTTCGGGACTTTAATGAGGTTTAAAATTCCGAATATTCATACCATAAGTATAACTATAACGATAATAACAGTTAATTGTTATTAGCTTTGGATTAAAAAGGTGTTATTCATAATAAACAAGTATGATACATGTAATTACTGTATATAGTGTTAACTTATCATGATACTAAAATTTTGTGTATGACACTATACTCATTCTACATACATGGATGTTAACAGCCTTTTCTACTCTGGTCTAGTTTCAGTCTGGTTTGCTATGATTTACTATATAATATGACTAACCAGTCCAGACTGATCTGGTTTTAATTTAAGTTTGAACAAGTCTTGCCTTAAGACAGTTTGTTAGTTTAGATCAGATCGAGATTACATAACATATCTATCTACAAAGTGGTTTATTCTATTATTTGTGGCTAAGCAACGGTGGGATAAACTGTATTTGGTTAAAATCCGGATTCATTTTCATGTGTTTAATAAATCGGTTTGCGAAATTTTGTGTAAAATTTGTAGATCAAAAAAAAAAAAAATCTCGCAAAGATATTAATTTCGACCTAACGTTAAAATCATTAATAAAATTCCATACTATTATATCTAGGGACAAGACAATTTGCAAAACAAAAAACATGATATTTGGATATGTAATTATAAAAAGAAATTTATTTTTTAGTTCTTTGACAATATATAAAAAAGGTTCCAACAAAGATATAATTTTTTGTGAATATAAAAAAGGAAATAAATTTGTCTTGTCGGAAAAAAATAAATAAATGAACTATATCGTCATATTTAGATTAAAAGAAATTTTTCTGTATTTAATTTACTAAAAGTTTTTTTGTTTTTTTTTAAATAAAAAGAATTTTAAAAAAGCGATTTAATCAAAAAATTGTTATTCTACGCTTTATAATGTTAAAAAATATATACTTCATTTAGTAAATAAATAACCAGCTGTAAAATTTAAATATTACAATTATAAACTGCATTAAAAAGAGAAGAGAAAGAATCGACTATATAATTTAATATTTTCTCCCAACCTATTTTTAAATTAAATCTAAACACAGAGCAAACGTATAAATGTGCCCAATGCCCAGTTATTGACTATGTAATATATATAAAATAGTATAAACACTGATACTTCACAATAGCAAAATACGCTATACTCCACCCCATTCAAATTTACATATTTTACCAAATGTTTAATATTTTCTAAACAAAATTTATTCGAAATTATTTCTATTATTATTTCATAAATCTTTGTAATTTTAAATTGTACTATTTGTTAGTTTTGGTATGACTAAATGTTTGTGTTTGAGAAGATTCTTCGTATTCAGTCTCTGTTTCTGTTTCTGTGGTTTCTGTAGTTATGATTGTCTCAGTTCCTCCAGGTATTATGTGTGTCTCTTCCGTTCTTGATGTATGAGTATGGACATCACTTCGAGGTTCACCTTGAAATTCTTGTGTGTGTTGTTCAGTTACTTCGCCTGATGGATCTCTTATAGTTCGAATGACTTGGGTTCCACCTGGACTACCAAAATATTCATGAGTAGTAAAGGTTGAAGTCGTTGTCGGAGTGCTTCTTATATCTTGTCCACCTATATATCCATGAGCAGTAGTGGTTGAAGAAGTAGTTGTTGGTGTACCCGTCCCTCTAACAATGGTAGTGGTAGTTGTTGGTGTACCCGTACCTCTATAAGTGGTAGTGGTGGTGGTAGTTGTTGTTGAATTTTGACTATCTGGTAGCTCATAAGTAACTGATTCATCTCTTGTAACTTGACTACCGAAATATCCGTCTTGGCTCATTTGAGTTTGTGATCGATGTATATCAGGTGAATCAATATAAATATTTTCCTCATGGACAGTAGTAGTTGTTTCAACTTCGGGAATAAAAATCTGTTCTCTTCTTGTGTGGGTAACGCCATGTTCATCTGTATATTGTGTAATTCTAGTTTCGAAATGTCCTTCAGTCGATGGTGAGTCTATAATTTGACTTTCAGTATATTTTCCTATTGGTTTTTCAATATCAGTACTAAGATCACTTCTATGCGCTTCCACTTCAACAGGTGAACGTGGGGTTGAACCATTCTTTCCGTTCTTTGATATAGCCATTAATGCTGCTTTATGACTTTCCCCAGTGAATTTTCCTATTGGTCTATCAACATCATCACTAAGATTATGTAAACGCGTTTCCCCAGGTGATATTGGAGATCTTCCATTCTTTCCGTTCTTATCAGTAGTACCACTTCCAATATCAACAAGTAGAGCCGGTGGTTCTTCTCGTCTCCTAACTATAAAAGTTGTTGTGTATAAATAAAAAGGTTAGATTTTTAAGTTAAAAATTTGATTAAAAGTGTTGTATATAAAACAAAGAACTTGCCGTTTGTAGGTTCCTTAGGTGGAGCGACGCCATTTTCAATACTATCTTTTTCTCCCACTTCCTCTTCATAATCTTGAAATAGATTTCGTTCACAAAAGAATGCAAGATATATTATCGATATTACTCTAATAAATATGAGGATCGTGCATGAAGAAAGTGCAAGAATAGGGACAATGGCCGGGATGATAGTAACTTTCTGATAAATAATCTATAAAAATAATATAGATTAGTTTTATAACTAACAAATATATAACTTATTATATTTAATATCTTTAAATTTATTCACCAAATATATGAATTGAGGTACGTCTTCGATAAACATAATAAAAACGATAGACATGATAATCCGCTGATCTGTTTCTTGTGTGTAGGGAGCATTTAATGATCTATAACCAGCAAAGTGTGAAGATGCCACATTCAAAGCTTCATTATCAATTCCAGAGAACATTGTTAAAGCTAGCGCAGTGTAACTATGATCCTTCCACCATCTTTTATATCGATCATTTTCTCTAAGTTCACGACTAACAATTAAGAATGTAAGCAAAGTGCTGCAGGCGACGGGTACCACTAAGAAAACAACGCTGAAAAAAAACAATAATTAATTTATTAATTACAACTAACAATCTCAAAATATTTTTTATTGTAAAGAATATAACAAACCTGACAACCATAATCCATTTTTCGTCCTTCCCATGAAAAACAATAAATAAAATGTCTAATACAAGATCTACCACTATTAATGTGGATACAAAGATGGTCAAGAAGCCGAGAATTGCAGATGCTTTCCTTCTTTTTTGTATAGCTTCTTCCTTTAAAATGAAAAATAAACATTTTAGTATATTATGTAAAAAACAAAAAAATCCAACACATTTATTCATATTTATAGATTATTCACCCTGTTGCTCTTACAACACGTAAGGCACCATAAAAGTGATAATAGTGCAAGTCCAACAAAAACGCCAATAAGAATATATTTGTATCTATTCCATAAGTCAGCTGTATAAAAATTAATTAAGGATGTATAGTCGGTAAATATACAAGGAAATATGTACAAAGACATATATGGGTATTATGAATATCATGAGAACATACGTATTAGCCAAGCACCATTATTTTGGTCAATGTATTTAGAGGTGGTACCAGTGGAAATTGCTGAAATATCCTTGTTAACGATCACATCATTTAAGTCATTAGCAAGGCTAGGTCCACCTCTATTATCCCCTTGAGTACCTTGAACGCCTTGGGCGCTTTGACCGCTTGGGGCATTTTGGGCGATATTAACGCGCATAAAAATTTGATCAGCAGCACCAGTATTATTATAATTACTGTATTGATAAAGTGTCGGTATTTTAATACGCGAGGTATCACAATTAATAACTGTGGCAATATCACTACGCATGCTTTCACAAAAGCTAGACTTGTCGTTTGGTGACAAATTTACGTAATGTTGAGTTCCTTCAGGGGTTAGACGAATGATAACGCTTCTATCACCTATGTATTAAATTTACGTTAATAATGATATTCTCTTTTTGTAAATAACTATCTCTTACACTATCTCATTATCACTGTTATATGTTCAAATTCAACGTAATTAAACACAGATAATTTGAGACAATTAGAGGCAAATTTGCTTCAAGACAGTGTAAGAAATGAATATTCGGAAATTTATAATTACCAGTAGTAGTATCAGTAACGTCAGCTAAAATAAAAATATAGAATTGTATTAATAACTGAAAACAACTGAAATAATTAACTAAGCTATAGTTATGAATGTAATAAATACATGTAGTGAAATTCCACACTAATTTTTTGATACCAATAAGGTTCTGATCTTGTGGGTTTTTTACCGCATCATCATCCACTGTAATATAATATTCTTTATGACTACTACTCGTATAGCTTGATAATAATGATACGGTTACGTTTTCATTGTTAATTTTAACTCTATCATTATAAGCCGGAATTGAGCCACGTAAAGAATCATCGCCTCCGGTGGTGTTTACTTCCCAGATTCTGAAAAATCCAGTGGATTTATTAACTTGGCTAGTATAAGTTATAATAACTTCTTGAAGTGGTGGCGTAATAACTGAGTTCGTTACTGGTGTGACACGAGAGACATAGGCTGAACCAAGCATACCAGCTTTTTTTGGGGGGTTCAGACGATATATTTAGATCAATAAAGTTTGTAATATTTATAACAATTTCAATCATCGCTTACCTGGACGGAAGTTTGTTAGCGTGTCAGACGACTCAACAGTCCAGCTTGAACTATTATTTGTATTATTTGCGCTTGGAATAATGGTCCACACAGTGTTGTTTGGAGACAAACCAATGATCGGTACAGTAGTTATAATGGGAGGAAGACCCCAAGGTCCATATCCGGTTCCATTACTGTAATATATAAATCCTTCAACACTACCAACATCCGTGGCATTTGTAGTGTTCTTAGCCACAAAAATATAACCACCATAGGATAAAGTTTCGACATCTATCACAGTAGTATATGGAGCAGGCAAATTTACACCAAATTCAGTCGTTTTATTGACAGAACCAGAAGACCAAAAATTAATATTAACGTATACAGTTTTATCGGTTCGTTGAGTATATATTAAACAATTGTATCCAACTGATTCCTGTGCAACAGAACATTGATACAAGTAATAATCAGTAGTATTTGTACTGGGTTGCGATTCATATATGAGAGAATTTCCTTTAGTTGAAGAGTCTGTATGGGAAATCCAAATTAAATAAAGTTGCCATGGACTTATCATTCCTTGTCCAGATTGAGACACATATTTTGTGTAAACTAATCCGTAATCTCCATTCTCAGTAGGAAAAATGTTTATATATTTTGGAAATTGCGTCATATCAGTAATATGAGTAATTTCACTAGAATGGCTAGTCGTGCCATATGTAATCGTACCATCTGTTGTTCTAAAAGATCATGATTGATTGATTGATTGATGTTAGATAAATAAAATTGCAACATGTAAGGTATTTCAAAAAAAAAAACTTACAATGTGTATGGTGTCCAAGTTAAAATGCTAGTTGTAGAGTTGTAGCATGTGTACAAAAATCCATCACTTTTATAACTTTTAACTATTTTTGTAGCTGAGCAACCTTCACCAAAATAAATCACATTCCTACGCAATGGATCGATTAATGAACATGAGCAATAGGTATTCGTTATATATGAAAATTTTTTCAAGTAACTTACCCTTTAACATTATTACTGGACCAATCTATTATAATTCCACACATTTGATAGGATTGTGGATAATTACAATAATAAGTTACAAGGACAAATGGTCTGGTCAGAGCATAAATATTGATAGTACTATATGATGAAGATTTTGATCTTGGTATAGCAATAGGGCCATTTGAATTAAATGGTATAGCGGTTGTTGTTCCATTAGCATTCGGTATCGTTCCATTTTGTCCACTATTTGGAATCGTTCCATTTTGTCCACTATTTGGTGTTGTTCCATTTTGTCCACTATTAGGCGTTGTTCCATTTTGTCCACTGTTTGGCGTTGTTCCATTTTGTCCATTAGGTGTTTGTCCTGGACCACTGTTTGGTGTTGTTCCATTTTGTCCACCATTCGGTGTTTGTCCTGGACCACCGTTTGGTGTTTGTCCTGGACCGCCATTTGGTGTTTGTCCTGGACCACCATTTGGCGTCTGTCCTGGACCACCATTTGGTGTCTGTCCTGGACCACCGTTTGGTGTTGTCCCATTTTGTCCACCATTCGGCGTTTGCCCTGGTCCACCACCTGGTGATGTTCCTTCACAATTTCCCCATTTGTCGCTACAACCTTTTTTGCAATTTTCATCAGATTCATCACAACCTTTTTCGCAATCCTCTTTAGATTGTTTACAATCGTTTCCGCAATTCTCTGATCCATCATCACAATCTTTTTTTCCTGAAGGATGTCCCGTTGGTTTACTTCCATAAGAATCTGAAGTTGTTGTACAATCTTCAGATTTGTCATCTGGATGTTCCGGATGCTCTGTTGGCTTACTTTCGTAAGCATGTTGAGTTGTTGTGCAAACTTCAGATCCTTTATCTGGATGCTCTGGCTGTTTTTTTGGCTCATTTTCGTTATCACAGTCTTCTCCATACTCTTGATAATTTCTTTTATGCAAAATATTATTCTGAAAGCAAAAATTATTCAGAGGTATAATATTATTATTATTACTTAGATTAAAATCACATTTGTTTATAGCTCCATCTTTAGTAATTATACGAAAATGCAATATAGGGTCTCCACATGATCCTGATACAGTAGATTTAAGTAATATTATAATTGTATCATCAGGATAAGTATCAGCTTGAGCTACAGTTAATGGTTCAATTTCATTATATGAATTTGTTAAAACCCTAGCATCAGATGCTATTATTAAAAAATATAACACTACTAATAGCGAAAGAACCACGCGTTTAAGATGAACTGGCTCTTTCCAACGATTTAGCAACATGTTGGCAAGAGTTCAAGCGCCCGGGAACTTTTTAGAAAAAAAAGGTTGTATCCACAATCCGAGAGGATAGGGAAGGGTTTTCAATTTTGTTTAGAACCCAAATAAATAGAATTTTTGAATGGCGCCAAGCGTGTACAACGGTGCGGGTAACCTATAACAACATGTATATTTATATGTATATACTAAACTTTATTCGATTCCATTGTGAAAAAAACTGTACAATCTTTTTTTAGGCCATGTTTATGAGAAGAGATAAAAATTGTGAGTGTAACATACATTTCTACATTTGTAAACAAATTTTATCCGTAAATGACTTATTTAAAATTTCTAAAATAATTAATCATTGTTGATTGTTTTAGTCACACGAAGAATAACCGGGGAAAAAATGCCAACTTTGTCGATATCCCTCTTGTTAACGCCATTAATACCTCTTTAACCGGTAGTAGCCGCGCGCCGTGCATAACTAATCCAATAACGATAATATTAGTATGAAATTTCATGATTTATCGTCATGCATTTTGTCCGGACAATATTTATGATTATTCAAATAAAGAATTTCAATGTTTCACAGATTCCGAATTTATCTATTGTACTTAACGGCCGCCCAAGAGCAGACACAAAAGTACTTAGTTACAATTATATATAGTCATTTCCGTTGAATATACACTATGTTAATTAATATATTATAAAGGGATGCTTAACTATTAAAAACTATCAAAGGTTACTACAAATACATATCGTGAGAAGGTTTAATTAAAATTGTTCTTTCATATAGTCTGCGCAGAAAAAAAAAAACATCCCTGCATTCCTTTACTTTTTCATACAAAAGTGTTTGTTAATAAACAGTGCTATACGAAGTTAGAACTCTTCTACGTATCATACGCATATTACATATTATATATCTGATATTAAAATTTAAATTAATTAATTAAATAAATAAAATAAAAAGGATATTACTAAATTTCATTTTCTTGCATTAAACTGTATTTAAATGTTCAAAGATATCGGCCGTCAATTCTTCCCTGAATTCTTCCTTAGTTATATTATATATGGAATGTATTATTCTAAATAAAGCGTAAACCATTTATTACGTCATGTATTAAAATTCTAAAATTAATTATGAAAATTTCTGATGTATCGATTGTACTACTATTTGCAATTTTTTATTTTAAAATGGAAGATGTACTAGATATTATAAGTTAGCCTATAATTAGATTTAAGCTGTAAATCAAATACATATAGCTGAGCGATTAATCGAGTAGTAAAAATCGTTAGATCATACGTATCGGTAATAGATATAACAAAAGTACTTCAATTTAAATATTTAACTAAATATTGTTTGTAATACGATCTCAAATTAAAAATATTTGATAACGATAAATATTTAGAATAATCAAAATAGTAATAATGTTTAATAAAAGTAATTCTAATATTAAAATTATTACTTTTTAAAGTATATAGTCAAAATCTTTTTGGGTGCAACATTTTGGACTTTATGCAAATGATGTAAGAGTGCATTTAGAGTGGGAAATTTATAAATTCTCTACTTGGAACTCAGAAACATTCTATTTTATAGCTCCAAAAAATCCAATGCTAGAATAAAATTATTGCCAAAACTTGAAATAGGTTAGAAACCTATCTTGAGATCAGGCGAAGGCGTGCATTTGGAGAAAATGTATATTTATAGAGATTGAATTATATATAGTAGTAAGCAACAGAAAACGGAAACCATTATACATCTATTTTCTGTCGCGATTATCGCGCGTTGCTATTTCTTAATTTCCATCCAGGTTTTCTATTGGAAGAAGCTTCTCAAATAGATTTTGAAAAAATTTCTTTGTTTCGAACTTTTGCCTATGAGATTACCTTCTGCGCCCTATCAAGACAAAATTTTCTCAATATTCAGAATCTAATTCTCTAGTGCTCGTTAAAATGTGTATTTTTTAATCCTGTCAATAGGTGTCAAACTCTGTTGCTACCTCTTCCTACAATTTATCGAATGATCTTATTGGCTAAAGAATAAAAATAAAAATAAAATTAAATATAAAAATAAATAAAGATCCTATCCTATTAATAAATATTGCCTACGTATCCTATAATAATGCTCGTATACCTATTTACAATGTTAATTTGGCTACATCGATATGTGACGGAAATGAAAAAACCTGTAAATTGACACCTCTTGAATGCGTCAAGATTGATGACGCACAGCAGTGATCGACCAAAAAAAATCAAGTCCAAGTTACACGAACAAACCACAGCCACCATTATGCAAATAAATATTCATGTACTGTATGGAACAGGTCTATTTTCCAGAATATTATATTTAAAAAAAATTAATCTTTTGGCCAAATTTAGAACTAGAAGATCGTCAGCCTAAATTAGGTTAATGCCATATTTGGTGTGGCTGCGCCTATAATCATATGATTTATTTAACTGTAATCAAAATTATCATACGAGATCAAATTAAGGTGAAATCCGCATTTGTAAATAAAAAACAGCCAAGTGACGAGTTCACCCTAACATTATCTACGTAGCGGATTTTACTAGCTCGTCCTCGGTCCTATTCTTATTATGGGAATCGAATAACTAATATCGAAATCGGATGATGCTGAAATCAGGTAATGCCAAAATCGAATGATGCTAAAATTGGATGATGCTAAAATCGGTTGGTGCTGAAATTTGGGCATAATAGTTGAGTTATAATTTAGGGTTAAAAATACATTTTACTAAAACGCACCTATGGTAGTTTTGCACTTGCATAGCTAATTAATCAGTACTGGTATTCTAAGCAAAAAAATACTTTACACCTTTAAAAACCTTTTCCAAACCTTAAATCCAACTAGAAATACTAATCTTAGAAGTCGGAATTCAAAAACCGAATCGCCTAGAGTTAACCCGAATTTAAATCAGGTCATTAGAGCGACTTTTAACACCATGACGTATTATGATAGGTGTTTAACGTGAGTCATATCATTTGACTATAAATATATTTATAAGAACTGAATTTTAATGATAAAAAAGAGATGGATTTCAAGGTGGAGAGATTGACTTGACATGATAATTATATTGGATTTATTGATTTTGAAGTTCATTTTAATAGATGCGTCATATAGTACCTTAGTCATGGCGAAAAAAATTTGGCAGATCACGTGCTGTAGATCATATTTGGCGGATTATTGGTTTTCGTAGTTAAAAATTTAAATTTTCAACATTTTTGATCAAAGGTATCTTGGTAACCACATGATCATTTTTTTATTATAATCCTAAAGAACAGTAAAATCGAATTGGGTGGGTGTTGAGATATATTCAATAAAAGTTTTAAACAAATCATTGCCGTGGCTTTTACAACTATTTTTAAAATTTTTAGAAATTTTGATTAATGATATCTTGGCACCCATCTGATCAATTTTAATAAAATTTTTTATTTCAATTCTACATAAATATAGAATTAGTAAAAAAAAATTTATCAAAATTGAGTAAGTGGATGTCAAGATAGCATCAAACAAAATTAAAAATTTTTGCTGCAGTTTTTAAAATTTTTAAAATTTTCAGAAACTTTAATCAAAGATATTTTGATATTCACTTGATTAATTTTAATAAAAATGGATTTTTGTATAGTAGCAGTTTTATTAGATAGAGTAATATTTTTGATTGAATCAATTAATTTATAAGAAATTAGACTAAACAGTGTTGATGTCAGAGAGAATGAATTTGGTATATTGTAGTTTTGCATGCAATTAAGATTTTTAATTTGGTTATGCAGATCAGATACAGTTCTTGGTGTTGTGTCAAGAGTAGATATGTTAAGAACATATTTAAGTAAGTCATTGATAAGATTGTTGAGGAGGTGTAAAGATGAACAAGTAGTTCAGTGAAGTGGAATGTTAATTTGGTTGCATTGATAACAATTAGAAGATTGAATATAGAGTTATATTTATATAGATTGTATGGAGTTGGAAGATTATCCATGAGGATTTTTATATAGAAAGACTTAAGTTGAGATGTTTGAAAGCTGTAAGAGTAGTTTGTTATTTTTTGATTATTGTTGATATAGAGTCAAGTAGTTTTCCAATTAGTTTGAATACAATTTGTGACCATTTTTAAAAGTGGTGTTGAGATGATTATAGTGCATAAATATGGGCATGATAAATTATACAGATACAATAACAGATAGGTAGTTCAATAGAATAGTTATTGAGTTGTAGTGTATAGTTAAGATTATAATAATTTTGTGAGTTAAATAGTAGATATGGAAGGTTAAAATGATTATGAACAAGATTGTCAGCAAGGTTATTAAATTTATTATTTTGATATGCAGCTACTTTATATAGAATAAGTTATATGTTGTAAAAGTTTTTAAAGTTAATTAAAGTATACCAAAGTAAGTGATATGGAGTATTGATGAATGATAATTTGAATAATATTAAATTGGTACTGTTGTATTTAAATATAGCAAATTGTGAGTTAGTATAGATGTATACTGTATAGTTTTTAGATGCAGTAATAATAGCAGAAAGAATTGCAATAATTTCTGCTTTGAAGAAGTATGATCAAAACTTAGTTTGTGTTTAGAAGATATATAGAATGTTATTGTTTTGTACCAAGGCCTATCCAATTTCTATTGAGCATTGGAATATGCCTATTTGAATAACTGATCTATCAGTATAGAAATGAAGTTCAGACTTGTAGTTTAAATTGGCAATTGATTGCAGAGTATCAGTAAGAATACAATTGTTAAAAACAGATAGAATAAGTGATGCAGATATATGGATATTAGAAGCATTAGGAATTTGAATAGGATGTCAGATAGTGATAAAATAGAGCAAATCAAGATAATTTGCATTAAAATTAAGTTGTTGATTTTGAGTATTGAATTTTTCAATAAATTTAGTTGCAAGATTAATAGGAATAAATGTTGTATATTTGTTAGTAATAAGATTAAAATTAAGATTGTAGCTAGTACATAGTTTAGTTGTAATTGAAGATGTTGAATATAG